TAACAAAATATTGAAAATAAAGAAAACATTTCGTTTGCATTTTAAACTTAACTCAGCTGTTATTGTTGGCAAGCTGGTTTTACAATGCACCAGAATAAAATAAATAAATTCTATATAAATTCATCTGACACATTGGGTTCGCCATGGTTTATATTCGATGCAAGTCGCGAGAGGTTGGTGAACTGCGTGCAAGCAGTACAGAGACCTGTAAAGAATGAACGTTGGATCGACCATACCTCATCATGGTAAATTGTTTTCACTAAACTTTATATATCTATAATACTGTTTGAAAATTTCGCTTTTCGAAACGTGATTTCAAAATAATTAGTTTCTGAAACGTGATTTTAAAATGAATAGTTTCTGAAACGTGATTTCAAAATGATTAGTTTCTGAAAAGTGATTTTAAAATGATTAGTTTCTGAAACGTGATTTTAAAATAATTAGTTTTTGAAGGTGCTTGTGCGTAACTTGCGAGATCGGCCGAATAGATGTGGGTTGATTTAATTATCTTATTAAGCAGGAAAAACGTCATATAACCGTCTGCGCAGACAATAATTGATTCTTCAATATTAACTGGCTCGTGTAAGTTAAACGTATTAAAAGTCGTGAATCACTCGCAAAACAAATATGAACTAGAGAAGCAAGAAGAGAAGGAGAAATAGAGAGAGATATGGAGGGAGGGGCGGTCGTTGCATTTGTCTAAAATTAACGATCTATAAGCCAACGCTCAATTTAATTTTAGTCAATTTAATTTTCAATTTTCAAAAATCAATTCAATCATTTTTTAGAGCATTTAATTTATTTAATAGTAAACTTGAAATCATTCTGAGTATATATGATTTGAATAAGTTTGTCGAATTCAACATTATTTTAATCTTTTATAATTTCAAAAACATATTCATAACAATTATCATGAATAAATTTTTAACCACAACCGTATACTTAGAATGAATTAATAAAATCTCATTGTTAAATTAATTTCTGGATTTATTTTTCAAATTTTACTGCTTACTAACTGAAAATTGCTTAAGATTTGTAGTAAGATGCACCCTGCAGTAGTCTCCTGTCAGCAAATAAATAAATAAATAATAAAAATAAAATAAAAAGCAAAATAAAAAAAGCTAATTTTTTCCTAAGGGTTATTGCCCAACTTCAAAAATAGAAACGATGTTGCGGCATGCGGCATGAAGACCAGCAACAAAATTTGAGACTCAACATTTTATATCAGTGTAGGTAAACATTAACTACATAGATTACAATTTTTTCAATCTAGCTAGGCATGTCTGGAATGAAGTCTGCCAGGACTTCAATTTGTATACATAGCTAAAAATTCTGTCTGCATTTAGTTTGGTTTAAAAATTTTTACGCATTCAAAAATTGTTTAGTTACTTTTCAGAATTTGGAAAAGAAACGTTTTTATAAATTCATTGAGACCTTTTAAAAATACTTTATTGTACACCTATTATTATTTCAGGTATAAGAGTTCAATGGAACAAGTACCTTTTCATAAAATCTAATTTTTTGTAATTTAAATAGTATTTTTGATAAAATAACGAACTCATTAGCAACTAATTCAAGTCCAACTTTAGCTTGCTCGATTATTTTCCTCTGTTAACTCACTAAACATTTATTTTTCTATCGCAGAACATTTCAGCATGACAAACGATTTCAATCGACACAACTGCTTACTTCAGCAAATTTCTAAAATTAAAAATGTTATAGTTGTTAGAGATATGTTTAGGCGTTGTTCTTTGGTGATCTGCTCCCTGCAAATATTTCGCCGTACACAAGCTAAATAATCAATTTAAAAATTATAGTTATTAATTGACATTGACAGAATTAGTTTGTCGTTTGTGGTTGAAAGAAAATTGTTCAATAATGAACCAAAATGTTTGGATGGAGAGGGCCAGGCATGGCGATGACGATATTTTCTAATTTTATTCTAATTTTATTCTGTCTCTTCCAGACTCAGCCTCTTGTTTGAATGAACGAGTTTTTTGTCCGGAACATATGAAGTCTCAATTTCTTGCCAGCGTAGGGTTGCCAAAATGGGTAGGTGTGATAAAACACTCCATTAAGGAAAATATTTAATTCGTTATTTTAAAGTAATTAATTTGGATAATCAATTTCACCATTATTCATGATGATGCAGTCGATTTTAACTTTAAAATCTAATTACTTTATTTTAAGAGTTTATTTTTATAACAGTGACAAGTTTTTAAACCAGTGAGCGAATTTTATTTAAAATCATTACTTAGAATATCACCTCGACAATCGTCATTTACGAAATGTGATGTGAACTTTTGTTTAACGAAAAAATTATTTTTAAACTCTTCACAAGCTTTTGTGAAACGCATGGAAAAGAATGTAGTCAAAAAAGAACTTTGATGGTGCAGCTGACAACTTTGTGATTACACTACAGCATTACAAGAAGAAAATGCAACAGTGAACAGTTCATTGTCAAATTTAGGGTGGCCCGTTATCAACAGTCAACAAACATTTTGTTGTAATTTTTAAAAATTTAACCACCATACATGTGTAATTATATCTTACGCATTTTTTATTCATTAAACACATTTTTACACATAAAAACACGGTTTTAAATAAAATAATTGACACAAAATATTCTGATAATCAAAATAAGGTTGCTAAGCATTTTCGGTTTTTGCCCTTCGTCTTATTTTAGCCCCCCGTCAAAGCTGTCTAGATTAATGTATTGATAAAATTTATATCAATTACTACTAGTAAGCGAGTCAAATGTGATGTTACTAGCGAGTAATTGAGTACATAATAATTTGCTAGTGACCGTTATTATGCAAATGTGGAATGTGTACATCATTGCTAGGTGGTAAGGGAGGCCCGACAGGTTTTAAAGCTCGAGTGTCTGGCACACTTAATCAATTTTTCCATAATTTTGAAAAATTTTATCTATTATTTAAATCAGTGTATTTTTTTTATTTGCTCACTTCATATCATAGAATTAAACCATTCCTGGATAAATTAAATCTTTTCATCAGGCCAACTATGCAATGTAACCATATACTTAGAATACTAATTATATTTTGTTAACTAAATAATAATATTTTTAATTAATATAATAGATAATAATATAATAATTAATATAATTATAAGTTAATATTAATTATAAAAAAATAATCTTGGTCTTTGATCTATTAAAAAATTTAAATGTTAGCACATGTTTACTTTTGCCATACAGAATAAATAGAGTTGATCGGCGATATTTTTTAAATATTTTTTCAAAATGGCTATTTTATTACTTCTGATATATTAAAAGGCGTTTATTTGATGAATTTGCCGCCTAAACTGCAGTGCCGTTTATTGTAAAACATCAGCCGGACGTCGAAATTAACTAAAAAAAATTTTTTTTTACAAAATTTTATTTTAATTTAAAATTATAAACTATTTTATTTAATTTAATCATTAATTAGATTTACATTGATAAATTGTAGAATGAGGAATTTATTGTTACTATTAACTGGAAAATAGAAATCTATTCAAATCAAAAAATATTAAATAACTCAAAATAATAAAGATCAATCAATACACAAATAAAAATATTCATGTTTCATTTTTTTTAATTTATTTTTTTTTATAAATTTCATTTATCTATGATAATCAATGACAAACCCCAAACACTTTAAATTGTATTAAAAAAATTTTATTTTACAAAGTTTGTTGAATTTGTTAGGTTAGAATATAAATTAAATTTAAATCAAATAAAAAGTAAAAATGACAAATTCTTCTTGGGACCTGTTGTACACTGTGATTAGCTTTTTCTTGTTTTTCTACATCATGAGCAAGTTGTACCAGTTTTTCAGAAGCAGGCGATATCAACTGCCTGCGGAAGACCTTAAAAAGGGCCACTGGTTAATTTAATTAATTAACAATTATTATTTTTATAAATATCAATATTATCCTGTTATAATTTTTTTTAAATTTTCTTGTTTCCAATTTAATAAAAATATTTAAAAACAATTGTTAGCATTTTTTGCATTTCTGAATCATTTAGTTTTATAGCTCAATTTAAATTTAATTAAATTCATAATTTAGAATAAAGGCTACTAATAATTTTACAGGTGGACAATGGTTGAAGTCTTCACTGAGCCGACATTTTGTAATTATTCTGGAAATCAAATAAATGGTTAAGTTTTCATTGTTGTTTGCAACCTTCACACACAATTTACAAACAAATTCCAGTTACATTTTCATTCAATAATAAGTTATATATATATATAACTATGAAATTTATTTTCTACCACAGATGGGGCTTGTTGTGATTGTTGTGGGATAATAGTTGCAGATAATTTCATCTGCAATGCGGATGCTGCTATTCCTTGCAAGCAACTTTCAAGATCGTATCCTTCATGCCACACTACACTTCCCGTGGCTTCCCATCCATCCACTGCATCCACCACAGATACAAACATTACTCCACCCACTACTGAACACCACTGGATAATTGGAAATGTTCCAGCTGACTTGAAATGTACTGTTTGCAATGTTCTCATTGGAAGCTCTGATAAACTCTGTCACTTTAAATGTTGCTGGTGCGTTGGCTTTACATACCAATAAAATACTCAATAAAATAAAATAAATATAAACTGTGACCAAAGTTTGACACATGCATTGGCATTTTAGTCGACTTTTTATTAATTTTGTAACTTTTCCACTGTTTAGTTTAATTTTTTTATTTCACAGTTTACTTTCTAATTCAAGATAAATTTTTCAGTTATAACGAACGCATTTGTTTTTGTGTCCTATATTTTTTTAAGTTTTTCATTATAAGACCTCACTTTTTTCAGCACTTAACATACTTTTTTCTTTTTCAATGTGTAATTTCAATTGTTCAGTTGCAGTTTACCTCTGTTTTCTTTGTAAAATATTGACACTTGATAAATGATGATCGCTGCAACTCTGACAGGTGCAAGAGGGCTGTTCACATGTTGTGCAAAAAGCTGTCTTCAAATACTTGTGATATGGGCCACATGAAAGATTGGGTTGTTCCACCTCATTGCATAGAATTGAAAATAAATAGAGTTAAAGGTCGGAGGAGGTTGATAGTTCAATCGGTTGAAAAGCCATCAAATGTTACTTTGGATAGGTGGAAACCACTGCTTGTGTTGGCAAACAGGAAGAGTGGCAATGGAGATGCAAGCCTGTTGTTGTCCAAGTTCAGAGGCTTCCTCAACTTGATCCAGGTGTTTGTTTCTCTTCCATCTACTATTTTCAACTTGCATCAATCATTTATTTTTTTCAATTTCGATTAAAACTTGCTGTTTATTCACTCATCTGCACTGTGCAGCTTATAATGTGGGCATTGAGTGCCTTACATTTTACAAATCATTTTCGTGGGTTATGTTTGTAAATGATTTTAACATTGAGATTATGTCGTTAATGAACAGTCACCTTTAACTTAACAACAAACTGACTGAATGTAGGTGGTCGACCTCCACGATTCCTCTCCAACCTCAGCACTTGAATGGTGTCGACTGCTACCGAATGTCACATGGAGAGTGTTGGTTGCAGGAGGGGACGGTACAGTGGCCTGGGTGCTTTCTGCTTTCGATGAACTCGCTCATCAGGTACTGATTATTTACTCTACTTTTAAATGTGAACAGCTATATTGATATTGAAGCCTATGGTAGTTAATAATTTAATTAATTAAAATTTAATAAAATTTGAAAATATTTTTGAAATTTTAGAGAATTCCCCAACTGTGTGTGGTGCCTCTGGGAACTGGCAACGACCTTTCAAGGGTGCTTGGATGGGGAACAGGGCATTCTGGAGACTTTGATGTAGAATGCATGCTGCAGAAGATCAGCACTGCAAATGTTATCAGATTGGATAGGTAGGCTGGTGTCTTCATATTTGCCAAGTTATGTTGGCTAAATGCATCTATCTTCTTTCTTTATGGTTACAAAATTTGATTATAATACATCTCTCTCTATATATATATTTGTTATCAATATTCACAAAATTTTTTTAGTTGATAATTATAGTCTTAAATAAAATTTTAATATTATTATATGTAATAATATATGTTCGTGTATTGATTCACGGATTTATTTTGTAACATTGAAGGTGGAGGCTGGATATTGTGCCAAAGATGAGTTTCAATTTGGGATTTACGAATAAGGTGTGCATAATTTACTTGCATACCTTGCATGTTGTAGCTTGCGTGTTGTACGTTGCATGTCAGATTCTGTTTTTTTTTTTAAAAAAGAATAATAGAACTGATGAATGAAAAACTGAATTCATGATTATTTTTTGGTCCTTGCGGTCAATGTTAGGCAAGTTGCTGCATTTCCTTGGCTTCTTCTTGACCAATTGACATTTATCATTGCAGTTTATCTCAACTACAGTGAATATTACGACGTAGATATTGTCTATTTTGCTGTCGTCATATTTGTTATTAAAGAATCTACGCCTCAATAACTCAGCTATTTTTTCATTCAAATTTTTGTAATATTTTTTGTGCTGCTTTATGTACTGATGACGTGGTCTATACGATACGATCTTCTTGCTCGCATGTTTATAACAATCAATGATAATGACGAGGCCGGTGGTCATGTGATTGTAAGAAATGAGATGAGTGAACTTAAAAACGCAGCGCCTCATCATAAACAACTACATGTCGATTGGAGTGGATGCCCAGGTGGCCCTCAACTTCCACCACCATCGCGAGATGAGGCCGATCTTCTTCAGGAACAGGTTCATCAATAAGGTACCTCGGGTTTCATCGGGCTTTTTTCAGCCGTACGCTTGCTTTTATACCGATTGTGTAATTATCATATTACGCTAGCTGTTTTGTTTGTTTTATGAAGTGCTTTTTGGAGTGCGTTGAGGATGTAGCACAAATAAAAAGTGATAGTTGCAGAGATGGCAAAGTAGTTTCACTACAAAACTTGCCATTTAGTTTGTTTTAAAGCATCAATAATTTAACAACAGTATATCAACAACAAACATCAAGCAAACAACATTATTCTTATACCGTTTAAGCTATGGTATTTCACATATGGCACCAAAGACGTCCTGGACAGAGAATGCAAGGATTTGGACAAAAAATTAAAAGTATACCACACTTTTATTAGTTATTCTGTTTGTCCTTTTTTTTACACTTATATTAATGTTTACAGTTAATAATAGAGGACAAAATAGTTGATCTACCTTCTATAGAGGGGATTGTTGTATTGAACATTTCTTCGTGGGGTGGTGGGTGCAGGCCGTGGGGGGAGGCAGGTGCAAACATTCCGGAGAGCAAGTCAGTTTTGCTATTTACATCTAATTAACAATTGACATTTATTTATTTGTTTATTTATTGCGTTACCTTCAAAGTAAGGATGATCAACAGTTTTATTTTCTCAATTAGTAAAATTTTTTTCAAATTCTATTAACTTAAATGTAATTGAAGTAAAACTCGGATGTAGCTTTGTTGAATAGTAACAATACAAATAAATACAGCGACAGTTCAAAAGTCGAAGACTTTAAAATTTTTTCTAATATTATTAAAATTATGGAGTGAAAAAGATTCAAAAATTTATAACCTTTTCAAAAATAAAAATTTTTTATTTTCCATTATTTTCATCATTCTTTAAGACTGATGCTTAAATTGTTGTCAATGTTTATTTTTTTAAACCAAGTGACCTGTTATCACTGGCAGGCACGATGATAAATTGTTTGAAGTATTTGCCCTTTACTCATCTTTCCACATTGCCCAACTGCGAGTGGGGCTTGCCGAACCTCTGAGACTCGGTCAGGTGTCATCTCTTAAGGTCATTCATTTCATTATTTATCAGTATTAATTACTCCCTCAAAGCCATTCATTTTTTTATGCAGCTGTATTTATTACAATCAGCTTTTTAGTTTGTTATGATAATTGCATCGATAAATTGGGCTGATGTTCACTAAGATATAATTAAGATAGTAACGACGACAGCAATGCTTTATTTTCATTACCATTAATAAGTTGAACGAAATATGTTAAATTTAATTTCAATGTCATATTTTCAGATAATGTTGTTTGAATCTGCCCCAATGCAAGCCGATGGAGAGCCTTGGGTGCAGGGACCCAGCAACATACAAGTATCTTTCTATAACCAGGCACATGTTTTGGCGAATTCTTTAGATGCCAGCCAGTGTGTCAGCCAGTAACCTTAAATTCTGATCTCGTGTTGCCCGTGTCCCGTTAACGTATTAAATTCTTCAGCATTCTAGTCAAAAATTGTTGTACTGTATCATAGGATAAATTAATCTAACGAATTAGGCTAGATTCGTATAAATTATGTGTCTGTACACAAGTAAATAATATATGCGAGTGACCAGCACTAGTTGATTTCGTGAAAAATATGTCACAGCCCAGGTGACTGTATGAATCAGACTTTTATTTGTGCTTTCTCGAAAGAGACTCAAGCGCCAAACATTCAAGACTAAAAATACAAAAAGTAATTGGGGTGGTTAGGGAAATCTTATATTCAATTTGAATCTTCATTCACAACGTATGAATCTCACGAAATTGAGTTTGTTCTGGTCATCACATATTTGTGAATTATTTATTAATAAAATATTCTATATATATATCTATATATGTATACATATATGTATGTATATATATATGTGTGCGTGATAAAATATTACTCCAACTAGAATTAATATTTGATTCTGTAGCTTTTTTGTAATGGACATTTCCATTTTTTAATTCTTTATTGATATGAAAATATACTTCTACAACCGTTTTATAACTATTCTAATTATTTATTACATATATATTCATTTAATTGTTCTTGATTTCATTTACATTTCTTTTTACATTGTTCCGTAAATTTATATATATATATATATATATATATATATATATATATATATATATACAATATACATATAAAAGTGTACCATTTTTTGTTACTCTTATGACAGTGACAAATGTAATGGTATCAAATGACAGCTTATTTTGTTGTTAAATAAAATTTTCTGTTATGAAATAATAGTTTGAAATGTTCTGATCATCATTAACTCTCTCATGAACAGTAAAACAAAAAAGTTAAGTAAGTAAAGCGACATTCACTTCAATAATAAGAATAAGTAGAGAATAAGCAACAAGGCTATGAGTTTTGTGGAAGGTCCCATAAATCTATATTAACAAACCGTTTCTTCAAAAAGGAAATAAACGAACCTGATTCGATTCGTTGAGTAAATTGAAAAGTTTCATCTTCAGAAACAACGTAATCGTAATGCTTTTCTTGTTTTTCACATCAACCTATGCATTATCAGGTGGATGTATTGGTATTTTTTTAAATGAAGGATATTAATCACTTTTATTTTTGGCTAAAGTTTGATTAAATTTATTATTAAGAACATGACGTTTTAAATGTTACATTATACCGACACTAAAAACAATAATTTAAAATGGCCTATTCAGATGTTCAAGAGAGAGAGAGAGAGAGAGAAAAAGATAAGAAGAAAAATGAAAAAAATGCTACAAAATGTTAAGTGTTTTGTAACGTTGTGTCTGTAAATATTAATTGTACACTAGTTTGACCTACAGGATATTGCTGTGCGTTAACAAAACATAAACTAAAACGGTGAAGACATTAAGAACCATATTGCCGAAACATCTGGAAGGTGTTTCGAGAACATTTCACCATGAACGAGATTACTAACTTGTTTGTCCAAATGTGATCTATTTATTTACAATCAAAGCACTTAATTAATAACATGATACATTACAGAAGCATTCAATGATAGTTTGAAATTTTTGATGGCTAGAAGATTGAATTTGACATCATACTGGCGATTTGTTGACAATCAGAATTGAAATATCACATGAAGATTTTTCATTCAAAAATTCTATTAACTGATCAGCTGTCCCAATGACCTGAGGACTGTTCAATTTGGAGTCTAAATTATAAAATAAATTGTCGCTTAATTTTCGTACAGCAAACCAATGTTTTCGTGGTGATGGTATATTTATTGGCCCATAGGTGAAAAATGAGGATTTGCAGTTCACAATTATGCCAAAGATATTATTCCAATCAACTTCTGTGTAACTTCTAGTTGGAGATGAATTAAATTTATTTATTGCTGAGAAATTTGAACTAATAATTTTTCTTTAATAAAAACAAATGTGAATCATTTTACTTTCGTCTGTCAAACCAGGTGATGGAGTAATTGATACTTTCCAAAGCAGACATGATAACATTGACATCATAATTTCCAGTTCCAATGTAACTTCTATGCGGGTTGAACCATTTCTTATCTGTCAATCTGAATTTTATAATAACAAAAAATTTTATTTTTACTAAGTTTAAAAAATTTGTGAAGGAAAAAAATTAAATTTGTTTTTTGCACATGACATGAGTATGGTGATAGTGTGTGTGCTCATGCATATCTCTTAGTTATTTTTATTTTATCAGGTTGCAAATATTTGATGAAGCATAATTTTTCATAATAATTATCATATTTAATAAAATAATTTTTATTTAAGTAAATGCAAATATGCAAATTTCATAATATATAATAATGAACAATTAATTTTATTTGGCTTCCTTTTAAAATTAATAATGAAGTTTCATAAAAGAAAGAGGTTAAATTATTACATTATATAATAATATCGAAGTTTAGCAATAAATAGCTAATGCCAGTAGCACAAACAACCGACCAAATAAAAATAAAAGTCTAACATTTATTAAACTTTAAATTTTAATTTTTTAAATTAAACATTTTTTTAACTGGTAAGTAAAAAAGTAAGGTGATGGTATCACTATCAGTAACATAACACCTAAGTCAAGTCTTCTAGCACTAGCACTCTAACTTCTAACAATAATATTATAAATTATAATTATTATTACACATACACTAGTAACTTATTTTATTAACAACAACAGAAACAGAGTATCAGTGACTAACTTTTCACAGGTTTCATCCAATATTGCTTTAGTAAATACTTCTTTTTGTAGCAGATTATTTAAACAATGCAGAGCACACAAAGATAGTCTCTGTTTCTCATGATATATCTTCTGATCCATCATTGCCCGTGAACAAAATAACGTTGGAAAGAAAGTAAATGAATGAAGCACAGTGAATGATGATTAAAAGTGGGCACGATATTTTTTGATTGATTAAAAGTGGCGGATAAAAGTAAACTTAATTGCATTTTGAAAAAAAAACCGCTAAACATGGAATTTTTAGAAATTGAGCTATAGTACTTGAGCCTAACGTTGAGCGGGTATATTTGTGCCGTATCACTATTCTTATTCAATATTTAAACATTAAGGTATGGTATAAGCTATATGATTCCCTGCATAAAATATAAGGAGAGGTAAGAGGTAACGTAAAGCTTGTAATGTGAAGAATACGGTGGGACATTTCTAGTCTAAAAATTCGTTTGATATGCTAAACATTCGACGAACTTGATAATATTTTAGACTGAAATTATCATATACTCAAAATATATATGGTAACAGTCATATGATAACAATTATATATTCTAGTTATATTGAAAAATTTCAGGAGAGCTGCTGTGCTTTAGCTCACCTGCCTGCTACGAACTTGAACATCCTTATTAATGTATTAATAACGGTATTGGGAGATTACGGCAAATTTTTTCAAATTTTTCAATTTACAATTCAAACTATCTGATACTTTATTTGCAAACATTTTGATCAAACAAATGAGCATCGAATTGTGTGTCTGTCGTTATTGATGATGTTAATGCAAAAACTTGAAACAAAAATTAAAACATTATAGGTATCTATACAAGTCTATGCCTGGAACACATCGAAAAGACAATTAAATAGATGTAGTGAAAGGTAATGCTTTATGTAATATATTATATATATCCATGAATGCAATCGACATGCTTTATGACGTAATATATTTTATATATCCATGAATGCAATCGAACGCATTACTCAATAATTATTATTTTAAGCAAATCTCTAATCATCTCCAACGTTAACATCGTTTTTGTTGTCTTCATTTTCATAATTATGAATGAGCTCAAGTTATAAATCTTTTTCTATTATAAAAAAAAGTTCATAATACACCGATGGAAAGATGTAAACAATTTGCAATTTTAGATGCAAGTTTGAAAATAAACCAATGAATGTAAAAACAAACGTTTAGCCGCCCGTTAAGTTTTAGAAACATGATTAAAATTATCAACTAGCTAAACAACAATGCATGGTGATCTTGATATTTTATACCATTCTGAATTTTCTTTCGAGCTTAGTCCATCGTTTGGACAGACTGACGTCGAGGGCTGGAAATCGTAAAATAAAATGTAGAAAAAATCAAAGTCGTAATATTTCTTTTGACAGTAATTTTTTTAATTGTTCTTTAAAAAATCAGAATCCGACAAAAGCAGAAACTTACAGTATGCAAGGCAATAGTATAAAATGATAACGAAAAATAAATAACGGAGAAAAAACGTTCAAACATGAAAAGTATGGAAAATAAAGTAAAGTAATAAGTAAAGCAATGGTTTAAAAAGACAAATAAAATAATTTATTAATAGACTAGTCAATGACCTAAGTTGGTAAATAACTTTGTAAGAAAAAAGAATAGACTAAATGACAAAGTTTTATTGAGCGCTAATATATTTAAGGTGCCTTGTGATGAAGGCCTTATTCTGATATGTAGATTGAGTGGCGACTTGGTAGTTATGATTGCGTTGACGTAGGCTGTGTAGTAGTTTTGATTGATGATAGTAGAGGATGGATGGCGTGGTTGTTATTTATAATATTTGTGTAATCAAAAACATATAACTCTCACTTTCTTTCTTATTAATACAATTAATAACCAACACCCTTTCTGCACATATTTTATTGTAATACAAAACAAAAAATGAAAAAAAAAATTGTTTGAATTACTTTTCTTTCGTTTTTAGTTTTTTATACACTGGCGCAAGTTCGTCGCTGGAATCATTATCTTCTTCGGTAGTGAATTTTTGAAAAACTGGTTTAGGTTGCGTTTTTTGATAAGCTGGAGTAATCCAGAAAGGATGTTCGGCTGCCTCTTTAGCATGCCTTAAAATGGCAGATCTTGGATCTTTATCTCTTTCATCTGGTTTTCGGAGTACTAAGTTCTTAATGATATATTGTGACAAAGTGGCCCCGTGAGCTCCAACTCTTCCACCTTCACCTGGTCCATTAACAGGTAGATCAGGTCTTCTAGATTTCACTGGGTCTTTTCTGTCTTTTTCGGCCGCTTTTTTAGATGTTGTTGGTCGTGGTGTCTTGAACAAAGGCAATGAATAAGGAGTAATAATGTATGGGTCAAGACCGACAGCTTCATCTGATTTGTATGTTTTGGATTTTTTTTCTAAACTCAGTTTGGCTCCACGATGGCTTTTGTCGCCATAAAATACGTTAACGTCACCACTAGCAGTGGAGCAGATTATTTGATTAAGACGAGGATGCCACAAGCATCTGATAACGCTAGAATCAGACACTGAAAATTCGTTGAATTTCTGACAGGTATTTTTGTCGTAAAACACCAACTTTCCTCCAGTACCATTAACAGCAGAACCTCCCTTTTCAGCAGACACTCCTGTTGCAATCAAGTTGTCGTTAGGACTAAAACAACAATCGGTCATTGGGAATAAATTATAAAGGGATGTTACTTCGAACACAGCTTTTTTGAAATGTCTTAAATCCCAAAGTTTCAAAGTATCATCTGTACTTCTTGATGCCAAAAAATTATTGTCATAGCTAAAAGAAATAGAGGATATGTCATTGCCACTGCCATGCGCCGTCATGTTTTTTAAAATGACATTAACGTATAGCTTTCCATGTTCCCACATTTGAATGGAGCCATCTTGACAAGCGGCTGCAACCAACCTGACAGAAAAATGAAATTATAAAAAATTATAAACAAGTTTGTAATGTTAAAAATTAAAAAATAATTGTATTATAAAATTTTACGTGCCCAAGCATTATCATTTATTAATCCAAAACACCTGGAAAAATTATAACTAATCCATAAATAACGACTGACTATGTTGTCAAAAACCAGCAAAAAATAGGAGTATAAATATGTTTGAGTTAGCTTGCCAACCGAGAAATTGTTGTTAAAAAATAATATAAAATCACTCATACTAACTTGCCATCTCTGCTGTATGAACAAGTAGTGGTGACAACTTTTTTGCCTTGTAAAGATTTAGGTTTGATGACGGTTTTCTGTTTTTTCAAGTAGCTCACATCCCACAAACGCAGCGTTCCATCGTCGGAACAGGTCATAAACTCTTCTTTCATTCTTGGATTCCAACTGCCTGCATTAAGCATAGCTGTATGTCCTTTGGTGTTACTCTGATCAATTATGTACTGATCTCCCTTAATGCATTCCATAATCTCGTGACCATCTCGATCTAAAACCTTCAAAGTTAAATGATAATTTCGCTATTAACATTCATACAAATATTAGGAATAAGTAATGTTACATAATGTTAATTTGTGAATAGGTTTACATAATATTATACTGTAATGTTACATATTTAGAAAAATTAGCAGAAAACATACTTTAGCTTGAGCACTTCCTGATATCACAAGCACCATATCGCCATTGCTACTGAACTTGAGATCTCTGATTATATGACCTTCGCATGGATTTATGGTTCTAAAAGGTCTCAGTGATGAATCCATGCCAGCAAAATCCCAAAATTTGATGGAGTAATCATAACTTCCAACAACCAACCTTGCACCAGACGCATCCACATGTAATGATGATATAGGCTTCTTGCCATGATTTAATACCAATTTGTTATCTAACAAATATTTTTTCATTTATTGAATTGAATCACAAAAATGAAAAATTAACATGTCAAAAATAAGTAGAATTTAGATTCAACATAATAAAAAACATAACAAACTTGTTTCAAAAAATGCTAAAATGCAAATTATAATTTGCAATTAAAATTAATAGGATGGGCTATTAAAATTGATTTGTGTAAAATGAGTTATGCCTGCAAGTCAGAAATTTATGAAAACTTTGAAAATTTAATCATCAACAAAAGCATATCTCCCTTAAGAAAATAATAACAAATAATTCTATTTGGAAAATTGAAAATTACCTAATGGTAAACGATCTTCCTTTTCTTCTTCATCATCATCATCTTCATCATCTTCATCATTAACACAGGACTTATCTGAAGTTGTAAATTTACTGGAGAGACTGGCAGGCAATGGTGGTCCAATGATGCCTTCCTCATCTTCATTCTTATCACCAACATCATCTTCTCTCCCAATTTTAGAGTCCTTATCAGTTTTAGTTTCGAATTTGTTTTCATCCCTTGGATACGTTGAAACATTTGTTCTGTTGTCAGAGCAGTCAAATTCCTTTACCAAACAATCATCGCTTTTCTCCATTTCCTCTTCAACCTGATTAGATTAATCATTTTTTATTTTCATTGTTATTATTACTCTTCACACAACCATCATCAATACTGATGTAATTAATAACAATAACAATAATTTTAATATAACGTTATTAGATTGTTTATATATATATATATATGTTGGTAATAGACCATAATTTTTACAATATTCTATAAATTCTACCGAATGTTTGGCGTTAATATGTTTGTAGTTCGTTTTTTCAATTATTCTCACTAAAGTTTTTTGGTGAACGTTTAGTTTATTAAAATTCAAAATAAACTTATTTTCCGAATTCATGCTGCAAATAAGACCATATTTCGATTCCGAATAAATTATTATCAGTGTGGTTGATGTTTATATAAGAAAATATTGACTTAGTCAAAATGAACTTAGATGGAAATTAGGTGTCAGGTTTCTTTATTGGCTGGTCATCTACTTTGGTCTCCTTTTCTTCATCTATAGCATCATATTCTTCTTTGTCACTATTTACACTGCTAGTTTTTATTACTTCTTTGTTTTCATTGTTGGTTAAGTGCTGGGTTGGGAGTGAGGTTGTCATTTTTTGTTGTATATTTATCTTTGGTTTATAGATGTCAATTAGGACTGCTTCTGCAGTTTTAAGATGGTGTAGTTGCTGTTCTGGTATATTACTTTGGTGTTGCTGACAAGGATTTCATGACTAATAGTAATTGAATGTGTTGAGTCCAAATGAGATTTGATAGCATCACTCTGTTTATGCATCATAAGCCTTCTAGTCGTAAGCTGTGAAATCCTCGACAGCCATGTTAACGCCAAACATTCGGTAGAATTTAAAGAATATTGTAAAAATATATATATATATATCTTCTTGTATCATCTGAGAATGTGAAATTTGTGATGTGCAGTTCTTACACCTAATTAGTTCCCATCTCAGCATTGAATTCACCATGCAAACCTCTCACACTTTTTATAGCTTATTTATCGTTATCCTAATGCTACTTAGTAGCATTTCAACATCAAATACAAGTGACATGTTTGTCATATGTTTAATTAAGCTCAACTGAGCATTATACAAAATTTTATTTATATTTTTATAAAATAAATATTATAAATTATATACATTTTAAAATTTTAATATCATTAATTAATTTATACATTATAAATTTTAATTTATATGTTAAACAATTTTAAAATATTAATATTAAAAAATGAAACCTTTTTCATTTTCGCGATGTTCTCAGAACCCATCTCCATAGCAGTTATCCGAGCTTTGTCAAACATTTCCAAGAAATCAAAATTACGAGCTTTTTTTTGGGAATTTTTTTTAATATCCTCCATTTTAATTTTAAATTAAACAAAAAACCAGTTACGTAAATAAAATTAAACAGCTGAAAACATCCGACAAAAACGGAATACAAATCGGCGGGGCCTCTTTTGCTTCACTTTTTAAAAAATTTTATCATCCAGACATTTACGAGCGTATATATTATATATGTATCGCTATTTATATTTTTAATAAAGAATAGATACATAATTCCAAATTTCAATATCTATATATGGAACGTCAAAATATATTTTTATTAAAAAGTTTGTTTACAAGCACGATGGTCTCAAATTTGTCTGGCTACTTTTTACTAGTTTTTTAAAAGACTTTGTCTACCAACCAACTAAATTGCTAAACTACTAAAACTAACGCTAAGGCTAAGGTGACTAAATAAATAAAAATAAATGATAGAAAATCTGCTCTTACCCACTAATACTAATAGATGACCAGTTCTAATTCTGATCTAACTTAACAAAAGGTAGGCAATAACTCCTAGGTAGGGGAACATTACCTTCAGAACACCCATCAATCACTCGCACAAGTCAATTAAAAATATTAGGCATCACCTTCAGCTTCAAAATTAATATGGCATCTCATATCAGTCACATCATCGCAAAAGGCTTTCAAACGTCTTACGCACTCAAAACATTCCGCTCACGTGGTCTCAGAGGCATCAAAATATGCGACATCACTGAATCACTCATAACCTCAGGCATCAAATATGCAGCTCCCTCCTGGTCTGGTTTTGCTACACAACAACAACTTCAGCAACTACAATCTCTCCTCAAAAAACTAATCCGCTTCAACTATCTACCTGCATCATATCCTATCGTCACTCAAATATTCGAAACACTCGATTCAAGACTGTTCAAGAAAGTAGAAAATAACAACAACCACGTCATCCATCCTCGACTACCACCAAATAAAACTACAACACACAACCTTCGTCAGCGCAAACATAACCATCAAGTCGCCACCCATTCTACATAGCAGGAAAAGACCTTCATCACAAGACACCTCAAACATATTCACACTCAATAAAACTTTATCATTCACACAACAATTTGTATTTATCGATCACCTCACTAACTCACTAAGTCATCCTCTAGTCTATTAATTTGCCTTTTTATGCCATTACTTTACTTTATTTTATTGTCTATTTTATTTTATTTTATTATTGTTATTTATTATTTTACTTTATTTTGCTTTTCATGTTTAAACATTTTTCTTTCTCCGTTTTTTTTTATGTATTTAATTACTTATTCGTTTAATTTTATACTATATTGCCTTGCATGCTGTAACAGTTTCTTCGTCTGTCAGATCCTGATTTTTAAAGAATAATAAAAAATCTAATAAAAATAAATAATGCTAACGTGTTTGCATATTTTTAGTAATACTATAATTATAAATAACTTTTGTGGTGTTACTTCTACACAGCACTGAGTTATACCAACTCCTGTGCTGAGGTTAGCTAAGTTTTTATTTATAAAAATAAAATGTTATGCCATTTTATGGGTATGGTTATAAAATCAGGATGTTAGTAAATTAATAATTTACTAATTAATTAGTAATTAAACAAGCTCTAAACATTGTTATCATTTTGAAAGTGCTCCTGCGCAGAGATGAATGTAAACTATGACAGATTTTGCATCCCAGTATGAAATTAAATAGTGAAAGACTGCCTTATATATAATTAATGACTTTATTTGCTAAGAAAGAAACGACTAAAGAGTCGAGCAATAATAACGGATTTTCAACATATATATTATTATTATTATTATTATTATTAACATTTATGAAGCGCCAATTAAAAATAAAAGTATTAATTTTTCAAAGGCGTTTTCCGATAATTAATTAAAATGGCCAAATATAATATAATAAACAAAAAAATAAATCAGTTCACATTCATTAAATAATATAAAAAAAGTAAATCACATTCGTATCAAATAAATTAGTTCACATTCATTGATTAAATAAATGAGTCTTCAAATTTTTCCTAAAGTTTTCAATTCCTAAACTATCTGTTTTTGATGACACCGGCAAGCTGTTTCAAACCATCGCTCCAGAGACTGCAAAATCCCTTGCCACCGTCTGCGAACGAAAAACAGGCACAAACATCATATTGTCATCGTCAGATCTCGTAACGTTGATTTTTTCTGAAACTTGCATGTCAAATAATCTGGAATAAACCAATTTACGACAGTAATCCAATGTAAGTCTCTCAGAATTGAAGTGACGTGATCAAATTTAGCTCCGCCTGCAACGATTTTAGTAGCTCTGTTCTGCACCGATTGAAGCATCGCAACTGATCTGTCAGGTAAACCACAAAACAGGCTGTTGCAGTAGTCCAATCTTGAGTGGACAAACGCATGCATTAAAGATTGCATTGTTAATCTGTTTAATGATCTTCTGATATATATATATATATATATATATTATTGGTTTTATTGGTAAACCATTGCCTGCCATAAGCCAGATGTACGTTTCGTCTCTCACGAAACTCGTCAGTCGAGTTCCTAATAAGATTTAAGATAAGACAACTCAATTATTATAACCAATAAACGCAAACTGAGGTGTTACGACCAATTCATTCATTCATTCATTCAATGATCCTCTGTAATCCCTTAAGGGACCGTTGAGGGCGATGGTATTCTTCTATCTCTCCAAAATCCTTTTCTTTCCCTCGCCATCTTCATTGAGCTCAATGTTCCAACCCCCGTCCATTCCGTGATATCATCCATCCACTTCCTCACAGGTCTTCCAACTTTTTTCTTCCAGTCCCTCTTTCTCATCAGTACTTTTTTGATCAGTCTGTCGTCTGTCATTCTGCAGATGTGCCCAAAGATACCCAGCTTTCTTTCCTTGACACTTTCATACACAGTTTCTTGTCTTCCAAGTTGTTTTCTTATGGCATCGTTTCTTATCTTTTGTCTCCAACTGATTCCCAGCAACTTTCTATAACAATGCATCTCGAATGCTTCCAGTTTGTCTTTGTCTCATTTCTTCAACGTCCAAGCCTCACATGCATACATCAATGTAGAAAACACACATGCTTCTACGATCTTTACCTTTGTTTTTGTAGATACATTACCGTTTTTCAATATTACTTTCAAAGATGCAAACATTCCTCTCGCGATTGCTATTCTTCTATCAATTTCTTTCGAACAATTATTGTCATCAGTTATGAGGCTGCCCAGATATATAAATTGGTTCACTTGTTCGAGCCATTCAGTCGCAAAAGGTGTTATTGGTAAACCATTACTAACCAATAGCTAAGAACAACATCGCGTTGCATATATATATATATATGTATTCATGACTAGACCAGACTTGGGTGAACCTGGTTTTTTAAGGGGCGTCAACAATGTGCGAGGGTGCGTTCGAGGGCAAGTAAAGGTATTATAAGTTTATCTTTTAAAAAATGGGGATGCAGGAATGAATACGCGTGCAAACCACGCATCATACACATTGCATATGATAGGCGGGGCTCTCTTTGTATTCAAACCCAGTCATTGCAATAGCAAGACCAGGCGTTTTTAACCATTGAGCCATCACGCCATTATTATAAGAGGTGTAATGTAACCAAGATTTTATGCTGGGTTTGAGACAAACTGTAGGCAAGCTGATGAAGCCATAGTCACTGTTGCATGATTTCTTTCATTGCAAGAAACAAGTAAAATGGCGAACACAACACAATCGAAAATATTTATACCAGAAATTATAAAAACTCGTCAAAACAAAATTTGCCGTTGAATAAATATTGACGTCTCGACTATAGCTAAAATGAAGCAGTTTTATAATAAATGTCCATAAAATACTTCCTTTGGGGTTTCCTTTTCTTTTTTAATAGACTTTCGAAATGTGATAATTGTTTTAAAAAGTTTGAATCATGCCTGCACGGTAAGTATTGCTTCCACACGTGCGCTGGATACGCAGGTATGAATGCAAAAGAAGCCAAAGCTATATGCAAGCCCAGTTTAATCTTGACTATCACATCGAGGATTGATGAAAAGAATGTTAACGAGTTTCTCGTTGGAACGACTCTATACAAAGATTCGAACATTCTGCTGAACTTGAGGAAAGTTCATGACGTGTGGAGATGGCAGTTAGGCGCTGGCAGCTGTTAGTATTTTCGCTTTTTAATTGAGCAGTCAGTCAAGTTTAAACTGAATTCTTAAAATTAAAATCACAAATTATCTTACTCGCTTTGGCCATTGAAACCAAATTGTGAAGTGTGAAGCAAAACTTTATTGAAAACCAGAAGCGATGCGATCTATAACATTGAGCACCAAATAATACCAACATATAGCTTTAAATCGAATTACCTCTAATCAATTTATTAATGATTTCACAACTATGTATCAAACTCAAACAGAGACTTAAATTTTTATATTCATAGATTTCACGCACACTTATTTCAACTGGAAAAACAAAAAAGTTTCCGTCAACTATTCTTGCTCGTATTTCCAAATTGGTAAGAAGTGGGAGGCAGGACCGTGCAGAGCAAAAGTTTATCACGTCGTCTGCATGACTTGTAAGTCATTTTTTTTAAATTTTCAACATTACCTAGTTGACAAATTGTTGCTTGATTTTATGAAACTCTATGAAGTTTGATAAATGTTCTTTCGGTAAAACAACTGTTTTAATCTCAAAAAATATTTAAACTGCATAGTAAATAAATATATCTTGGTGATTTTTGTTAAATTAAATTAATAATAATAATTGTACTTTCATAATAAATTTTAATGATAATAATTTTAAACAAATTCGGAATCGAACACCAGTACAAAACATTAAAAACAAAATAATAAATGAAATTTTTAAAAGTAAAATGTCAGATGGAATGGGACGTTGACACTCCTTTGAAGTTTGAGAATGGGATGCTAATGAATGAAATCTACGATGTTTCATCATGCCAACTACTTTGTCAGTTCTTTGTTGAACGCTGCTTGGCATACGAATACGCGTCCAAACCGTTTTCATGTTGGATTTTCACTGATGGATCTAAAACTACCGATTTGAAACATCACGTCAATCAATTCATTAAGCCTCTCGAATGCGATAACTTAGCCCCAGGTTAGTATCAGGGACGTCTGTAGGATCACAGGACTTATACGAAATACAAATCAAATCACAAAGTTTCATTGAAGACTTTACTATTTGTGCTTACTTGAACGTTGTACGTGTAATTTAATTTCAATTGTCAGTAATATTACGAAACGACTCCTTTAGACAAATTTTGATATCAATAGGTACGATGTGTGAAATTTATTTTGATCTAAATCATATTTCATCATTCTTGTACGAGTTTTAATACAAATCATTCGTAAAAATTATTCAACAAAATCAAATAACATTTAAATCGTTTTTAAGCGTTATTTAGTTATTTTGTTTCGTTATTTAATTTGAAATTTGCTATGCCCGATATACTTATTACATACCCTGTCGTATTCAGTATGATGCCTTGTCATGTTTGTAACACGTGTCGTCATGTCATCACAGTGTACGTTGTCATGTCTATCAATCATGCTGTTGTTTGCCACCAGACACGCAGGCAGGCAGATCAATTAATGCAACTGAAGATCCAAACTTGGTCAGAGATGACGGCAACATTCAGGCGTTGAAGCTCAGAGTGGATTACATTTCAGGTAGGAATGAACTTGTTTGTTCAGCCTGCTGCTTGTGATGCAGTGCCGCTGTGCAGTGCTGTTCTGTGTTGTTTCAAATTAAAAACTCAACTAAAGGTGTTCACAAAACAATGAAATGCCATTATAAAAGGGTCATAAACAAACTGGACATCTGAGCTATTGAAAAATTGTGATTGTATCATTTAAAGTTGAAAATAACTTTTAGTGGTTCAAAATAAAGTGTTCTTATCATCTCAATACATGTATGTAACTCACGCAGTTTGTTTTCATATTTTGACGTAATTCATTGCCTTTGTTTATATTTTAACCACTAAAATAAATTAATTGAATGATTTACAATGTTTTAAAATGCAGATACCAACACAACAAATACCGTTAGCCAAAAAACCCGAAAAATTATAAAGAAAAAATATTTTTTCAACAGAGTTGGAGAAGAACCTGCCAATATTGATAACTGTTGTTATGACACTACTGCTTGCAAACATCATTCTACTTTACAAAATCGTAGCAATAATTGTACGTAATCAATTATCAGTTACTTGGTAGTTGGTTTTGTTACAGCATATTACTTTAAATAATAAACAATTTTTTTAAATTTTTATATAATTTTCATAACGTTTTGTTAAATGAATAAAGTTTAGTAATTTATCACACTTTTCATCATACAAGCTTTGTTTTATTGTTGATTTATTTCATCAAATATTAAATTAAACGTAAACTCTTAAAGTTTGACCCAATATACAGTAAACAACAATCGAAGTTTGATACTGATATTGAATACATCAGAAATGGGTTTGGGCTACACTGGCTTCGTATGTCAGAAAGGGTCAGCACTGTATAAAGTTGAGCTTCAGCACTTAAGTAAAAGTATGATTAACATAAAGTTTCAAAAGTAGAAGTAAAACGGCGGGGTAAAAAGTAACAATTTTTTAAATTTATTCCTCAGGTGAAAAGTAAACGGACAGCAGAGCAAAAAAATCAACTTATATTCCCATATTATATATTCAGGATTTGATAGCAGTTAATTCAATGAAAGCTTTTAGAATGACTGAATATCGTTAAAATGTTAACACCAATGTCATCATCTTTTTTTCTCACCAATTAGCCTAGTTCAGCAATTTTTTTGTCACTATATACAGGGTGAACTTAAGTTTCTTAATTCTTTAGAAATCGATCAAAAGATTTAGTCACGTGATAACTTGAAAGAAGTAAATACGATCATTTTTTGTTAATTATGCACGAATTTGGAAAGAAAAAAATTATGTTTTTTAAAATTATAATTAATTAAAAAATTATAATTAAGAAAAATAATAATTGTGACTTGTTGAATTAATAGCTGTTTTAATAACCAAGGATTAGGTGTCCCTTTTTGCCGGTAAAAAGTAGGTTCATTTTGTTCATTTCATTATTCTTTAAAATAAAGCATTGCACTATCTATTAAAATGCAAGTTTCAGTTCGTTAATTAAGCCATATTTTAGTCAATATTTTTTCCAAATTAATTACAAGATTAATTAAGAATTTAATTATTCATTACATTAAGAATAAATTATAAGAATAATATATATTAATTATTACATGGGCGATTCTCGCGTTTTGCCACACCGGTAAGTAGCCGTTAATTAAATGTTTCCAATCGCGTAATGGCGTACCTTCAGAAAATCTATAAACTCAAATTATTTTATATTTTCAATATAAATACTTTCTTAAAATAATTAATTTAAAAAAATTAAGTTACCCCACAAGCGCAAAGTTTCTATCAAAAATCGAATTAGAAGATATTAATTCGATTATTTAATTCACTACATGCCATCAACAATTTAACATAGATGTTCTACATGCAATAACCAATAAAATAATGAATATATATGTGGAAGATTGTATCAAAAATGTCACAATATATCAAACGTTACAAAAAATCAAGCTTTTAATACACAGTACCGCACACAGTAGAGTAAAATGCCTCCACACCAATATTTACTAACATTTCGGATTAGCAGATGTAGAGTGCCTAATTATTTTGACAACCCTTCTATCTTATCTTTTTTCATTACTTATTGCACATTTTTACAATGCTTCCTATAAAAGCCAACGATTTTAATAAGTACAGTTACTGAACATACAAATGAATATGTTTTAAGAAAAAATCTTAGTAAATGCCGATCCTTCGTAATTTAAATATTTTTCACCTACATTGTGGAAAAACGTTTTTTGTTCTTGTGGAGGCCACGTTGCCCACCTCGACAACGAAATAGCAGCACAGTGACACGTATCGTATCATATATTCAGTTACATTACGAATATGCCTCGTGTCAGACGAAGTGTTAGCGTTCTATAACGAGAAATTAAAAACGTTAAAACTTGAAAAATTTATTGAAAACTTTGTTACCTAGTATAATTGAATAACCTAAATGCGAAGTGAACATGTCCAAACAAAATGTCGGCATGCGTATATTGTATAATGTCTAAATATAAATTGCAACAAAAGGGCTATAGTTTAGAAAACATATTCAAGCACATCATACAAAGGTAATAGATTTAAAAGTTTCAAAAAAGGACAATCTTTGAAATCGTGATCTATTGGGTTCAGCGTCTGAAGATGACGCTAGTGAAGTGGTGCTACTATTCGGAGTTATGTTCGAGTTGGTGGAAGGCAAGCTTAATTCGTTGAGACTCGATTTTTTGAAATTTAAATAACTATTAGGTGTTGTTGAACTATCGATACATTTGCTGCCTTTCTCAAAAACAATATTGCTCTTATTGTTTTTTGGTATTCTGTAATCGAATAGATTAAGATTAGAATAGGTTTGTTTTTTAATCGGTATGGGATGCTTTTCAGTAACGTTTCCAACACCATCATTCTTAAAGCCATTGATAGTGGTAGCATTTTTATTAACCTTTTCTTGAGAAAAGTCTCGCAACAGCCGTTGAAACAAATTGTCACAATCTTTGGGATTAGTTTTCGGCGATTTATTCTTTTTAACATCATTCGAAACAGGAGTCGATGTGTTGGAGCTCCCAGGGAAACGGTTGTGTGTGCCGTTTACATTGTTACGACTCGTATTGCAATTTACAGTAACCAAATTTGCTTTCCTGTTACAAATATTGATATGACCGTTTTTGGAAGAAGTTTGTTTAACGTTTCCGCTGGATTTGCATTTTTTGTAATTAGAATTTTTAGAATTAGCAACAGCGATATCATTACCATTGTAGTAATTAGAAACTTGCTTTTTAATGAAATCTAATGATTCATTTTTTTTCAACTTCAAGAAACAACTAATGCCAAAATTATTAGATGACGAATTTTTGTTTTTCTTGACACCGCCATATATATTGTTGCTTAATGCTTTTTTCTCTATTTCACACAAATCATGTTTGCTGTTATAGTTATTATTATTAGTATATTTGCTTTTCACAACTTCATTTATATCATAAAAATAGCCTTGCTTTAATTTAACAGAATCATTTAAGCTAATCCTTTTGGTCACATTTTCCTTTTTTAATGATGGCATCTGATCCGCAACGTGTTCCACGTATTTTGACGCGTTATTAACAATTTTATATGAATTATCACAATTAAACAAACTCGTTTGTTTTTCTAATATTGGAGGCGATAAATTGCCTTGCGTTAATCGATTTTTCAATTTTCTGTTCTGTACCGGACTGCAATGCACTGATTCAGATTCACAGCTCATTGCAAGTAAAATATCCTCATTTACGACGTCCTCATCATTTTTGGCGCTCACCATGTCTTCAACCTCATTTCGAAGGCCAGATGTCTGATGATGAAAATTATTAATTGCTTCATCAGTGACAGATTTCAAAACTGGTACGTCATAAAAAGCAGCTGACTGTTGCTGAGAATTATCATTTAATAGTGCACTGCATGATGTCTCACGCGTGAATCCGCGAAGAGACACTTGCTCTTCAGGTTTAAATTTTTTTTTAGGAACTCCACAATCATCTGAAAATTGTCTTTTCAATGAATTGTTGGCAACAATTGACTGAGTCACTGAATAATAACAATCTGAGTTCTTTGTATCAACATCATCAACACCAGTAGAAACCGATTTGGAATGGCATTCATTGAGATCAATAGACAACGATTGGCTGTTATCCAGAAAAGAAGAGGATTCGTTAAACGAAGAGAGAACATCTTCCACATTTGGCTCAACTACCACATTTTGCTTAACCACATCCAACAATTGTTCTTCATTGTTACTTACATCTTGATTATTTGTTTGATTTATTTCATCACGTACATCACTATCTTCCATAAGGTCAGTTTTGTGCAGCAATTCAGAGTCAGAAGACAAATCATCACTCTCAAAATCTGATGTATCTTCATCATCGTCCTGATATGACTTGCGACAAACAGCTTTCACTCTCTTCTCACTTCTAAACTTACCAGCCTTCTTACGTAATATTCTTCTTTCTGATGTATTAACCGGTTTGACTTTTATTTTAACATCTTCAACATCTACATCAACTGGTTCGACTTCCTTCTTATCATCTTCAGTTGGTTTCACTGTCATGTCAACATCTTCAACATTGACATCATCTGGCTTGGCTTCCACCTCAACATCAACACTTGCTTCATTTGCATCTGCATTGTTTACACAATCATCAAGTTTATCGTCAGCAACACTTTTGCTACTAGCAGTGTTTACAACTTCATCATCTTTGCTGTGAACATCTTCGGCATTGGTTTCATCCATGGTCATCTTTTTGAAACGTGAATTTATTTTACTGGATGACTTTTTTACATTTTTGCATTTACCATTACTGCTGACTACGTTTGCACCATTAGGCAGAGTTTCTGATTTATCCTGTCTTGAGTTCCCATCTGACTCTTCTGTATTTTCATCAGGTTCAGGAAGTTGGAAGCCCTGTTCGATGAGGAGTTCTGCATCATACCTTGTTATTCCTCGTTTCTTCAATTCCGCCATCTTCAACAAGTGCGAGTTCTTCTCTAAGTTACTAGTCCTTGTGTCCCAGTTTTCTGTATTGACAAATAATTCAAGCAATGAAAATATTAATTTTAAAAATTATTATGATCAAAAATAAGACTTTAGATATTAGTAATAAAATTCAATAAAGAAGAACACACACACCCATGGCTTTGATGCCAATCCCTCCATATCTAATTTTCATATCTGACGACGGCGATGTTGACTTCGGTGCCATCGGCGGCGTGGACAACTTCCTACGACGCTTTGCAACCTTCTGCTGAATTTTGTCTCTATCCATGCGGTGCTTGGTGTCTCGCAGCTGGTAGCCCTTCACCATCAAACTGGTTCTTTTATCAGGAGAAGATGGCGTAAATGCCCCTGTCAACCTCCTGCAAAGATGCATCAAAATCTCAGCTATCATCCTATTTCACGACAATAACGCTTTACATGTTTAATGTCTAATGCACAAAATTATATAAGGAACTTATATAAATGTACTAAGTGTGCGAAAATTACAAACAGTAAATAAATTTTTAAATAGAGAACGTTTAAAAGTTTTTAAGCACATCGAACGAACCAACCTTTCACAAGTGTAGCACTCGCATAAATGGTTGTTCTCTCCAAAGAAATCACTCCCGTAATGGCAGGTTACTTCTGTGCCGGGTTCGAGATCCAGCAGGATCTGCACGTAGGCCCTTTCACGACCAGTCGATACAAACTGAAGGTGAAGAGTCAGAAAGATGAAATTTAAAAATTCAAAAAAAGATGGCCATCATATTTCACCAATATAGAAACAACAAAATAAAACTAGCAACAGTATATTTGTATATAATTACGACAGGGTGTTTTTTGTGTATGAACTCAGTGCCAATATGGACAAATAATTAAATTGTTTGAAAGTACATAATTTGAGCAATCAGAAAAGTGATTATTTGATTTATTGAAAATTAACTAACTCAATAAAAACTGTCCATTCATGAAAAACAGCATTAATTTACATTCATTCATTCATTCATTCATTCATTCATTCATTCATTCATTCATTCATTCACCCATTCACCTCAAACGCTATAGTTAATCTTAATCACTGTTATTATAATCAAGATATTTATATTATAACTTACATATTTCCCATTCGTTAATCTACATTGATCTCTTTGTTTCTATTTTTAACTTTGAAAATTTCAATTTGACTCAAAATTTTACTTTAAAATGTTTTTATTGATTATACAGAGGATTGATCAAACGTTAAGCATTGGTGCTCCTGCTAAAAAGATTGTAGGAAGTACTAATACTATTTCTTAACCTGCTAACCAGCATGCCTGGTAGTTTGGCTGGTTCTTAGTAGCTACTGTTATGTTAGTTATCAATCAAAAATTTGTAAATAAATTTCGAGTCACAATGTCACATAGGAGGCGGTCAAGAGTTGATAAGTTGAGACACAGATGCATTGAGATGTGTAAAGAAGGCTCCATTTCATGTAAAATGTGATGCATTTCCCAAAAACATATATCTTTGATTCCCATTTATTTATTCATTCATTTATTCATTCATCAGTTTAAAAAACAACATCAAAAAACAAGAATCCCAAAAATGTATAAACTCAACCTACTTTACAGTTCGGTATGCAGTCATGATTGATGTAGGCAGCTGGTCCCAGCCAGAGCTGAGCACAGTTCTTACGACATGAGAACATTACACTAAAATCGTTGACTCCTGGAGTCAAAAGTTCATCTTCATCCTCTTCTGTCAACTCTGCCAAGCAACCCACTAGAAATGGTATCTTTTCACCCTTGTACCTAACATTCATGCAAGAAGGAGGATGGTATGTTTACAATTCGAGTAATTATAAACATTGGTACGAAAAGTGTGCGAATAAAATTAAAATAAATAAAATCAAACAGGTGATAATTATACGGAAGTGACAGCAACGTAACTGACCACTTCCTAGTGACGCACACTTTCCCTCCGACCTGCCTTTCCAAACTGTATCTGAAACATGGCTGTAACTCAAAACCAGAATTCTTGTCATAAATTCGCAGGTATCTGAATAACTGAATGATTTTTGAAAATGTTGAATGCTAACATTCAAATTACAGATTCATCATCATGAGATGATAAATCAAGAAATAAAATGCAAAATGTTCATTGGAAATACAAGAAATATATTACATAAATCGTTACAAAATTTTCATTGTCATCAATACAAAAACATTACTAAAAAATCATCAGAAGCAGTTCCATTACATGAATGAAATTAAATGTAATAAAACCCCAAAACTAACATGTTCCTTAAGAGCAAGCAACTGGTTGGATGTCTTGGAAGCAAAATATGAAGTGAGAAATGAACAAGTAATGAGGTTCAAATACGCCCGTTCGTAATTTTGATGTTTGCAAAATTTCTCTATCAACAACCTCAATATTTCATTGTTTACTTTCAATGGCTTGTAACTAAAAAAATTTGAAATTAATTTAAAAAAGAATGTCATTTTAATAAACTGTCAGTAAAGTTAAATAATTGGAATAAATGCGGAGAAAAGAAAACAGTGCATGTTTATTGAACAAAAAAATATGAATGGAGAAGTTACTTTGGAGTCATCTTGTGTGTGGTGAAACCAATGATGGGATCAACGAGAAGGCTGGTTGCTAGGTCATCCATTTCAATCAACTCTTTGTAATCCACCCGATTAACCAATGAAAAGCTGGACATGCTGGTCAACTTATTTTATTATCCAAAACAAGTGAGATTATGAAAAAAAGCTGTTTCCAATTTAGGGAATGAAGAAATTAGGAAGTTAAAATTCTATAATGCACGATGCAGATTGAATGCTACGGTGTTGCAACTCGTATCTTGATGTCACCATTCATTCTTAATCAATGAAGAGAAAATTTGTGTATCAAAGAGTTTTGTTTTTGATAATGACATCAAATCTGTAATGGTAATTTAAGTAGCATTATGTTTTATAATTATGATGAAACTTCTAAAATCAAAATAAATTTATAAGAAACCGATATAAACAAATCTATTGACAACCCTTGTTAAATTTATTAATGAAAGTTATATTATATTATATTAAAAATCAACATTCCTTAGATGTTATCAGGTTATCTTTATTAACAATCTCTTATCTTAACTCAAACTACTAGGATCTAACTGCTCCAATTAGGAGGCAGGTGTTATGTGATGGCTTTCAGTAAAGTTTATAAGTGGAAGGATAGTAGATCAGGCATTAGTATGAAATGCATCAAAGGTGTATGGAGGAAGAATCCAATGAATCTCAACCTCCATGCACTTTGGGTTGGGTTAAAATCAAATAAAACTAACTAATCCTAATGAATTAAAAATAAATTTTCAGTTGACTTACTGGCTGATGTAGCAAGGTGTAGAAAAACTTAATTTTAATTGCACCTACCTAACTAATTAGCCTTCAATTCAAGTAGCATAGTTATATAGAAATCAAAAGCAAATATTTTTTTTATAAACTTAGCAATAAAACAAGTAATAGAGAGAAGCATGGCAGAATTGAAGACAGACAGGACAGGCAATTATTTATACACTAACTAACACCCATTTCTTAAACTTAAAATCTTTTATTTTTTCTTACTTAACAAACTCAAACTGATTAACAACAAGGATAATAATATAAATTTTAAAATCTAATTTAAAGATTTAAAATAAACACTGGTAAAAAAATTGAAGTTACCTTTCAAATCGGTTTTTTACTTATATGCAACATTACTTATATGTAACATTAAAATATGAAAATTGACGTACTCAAGATTTTTTATCAGTAGGTAGAATAGTCTATTCTGAATAGAATAGAACAGCAGTCAATCTCAATAGTAATGTTCCAACAGGCAAAAATCGGTAGACCCAGGCAGGACACTGACCAAAAAATCGATCAGCAAGAGAATGTTAAAAAACTGCATAAACTAGTGCATTAATTCAGAGCGACATTTATTAATTAATTAAAATATTTTTAGCTTAGCAAAACATAAAAAATATTTTAAATTGTAAAAATAAACATCGAATTTCATTGGTATAACTATTAGCACAAATTACAGTTTATTTAGAGCTTAATTGTAAAACATTATTTATTTTCTTGAAATTGTAAAAATTAAAGAACGGGTTGATTGAAAAAGTTAAATCTAACTTATAAACTACAGCTATTCTACAAAAAAATCCATTTTTTCAAGTTAGTGCTATTGAGATTTTCCATATAAATTAATTCTTAAATAGGCTAATACGTGTAGAACGTCATCGTTAAAATGTGAATGGCATGGAGAAAATTGAAAAAAGCGATTTATCATCTTCTAATTCGATTTCGATGTTTGATCAAAACATCGGACTTGTGTTAGTGGATATGGTCAAAATTATAAACGATAGTTATTTTTAAAAGCAATTATTTAAATGCAAAAAGTATTTAAGTTAAAATTCTATAACAATATTAGTTTAATGATTTTTTGATGCGCCACTACGGATTTCGTTTTGTTTAAATAACGGTTAACCAACGGTGTGGTGAATTGCAATTGCAAGTGTCGATGGACCGCAAACTCACACGCACTCGCTCAATCCTTCAAGCGTCTTACGAGAGAACATAAAAGTTTATAGACCAACCAAATATTACGTTTTTGGCAAAAAGGGTCAAAAAATACGATGGTCATAAACCGTTTCATACACACCAGCATCATCCACACGGTCACAGGTGCCAACGACTGTTGCAACTATAACATAATTCATTAAATTTAACTTCTCATCCAAATAGCTCATTACAAAATATCAAATTTGTAATAGTTAATTTGGAAACTAGATTGACTTACATTTGTTTCAATTACCATACTTAGACATACATTTCAATCAATAATACAGTATTTGAATTAAAAAACAATAAACATTGAACTGGTTGGTTAAACTGGACGTTGTATACTTCATTTCCAGCGGCGAAAAGAAACCTATATCCATGGTTGGTTTGTTAAAATTTATTAACACAACTATTATTAGCTTACCATAATCTTGCATGTTATAGTTTTTAATTTAATTTGTTTGTAAATGCCAAGATTTAATTTTTTTTATCCAAAATTTGTTTGTATAACACAAAAATGATCGTTCTTTCTTCTTTCGGGTTATCCCGTGATGAGTCAATGTTTTGATTGATTTCTAACTGACGCGATACAGATACTTTGATATTTGAAACTCTGAAGTTTTTGAAAGATTTTTTTTTTATGAAAAACAACAATCATCATAATTAATAATTGTCAGCAATTCATCAGTTGTCAACAAACGTTTTACATACAGCTCTCCTTCCATGTAGAATTGTTTGCCTGCCATTATTCCTCAACCACCGACTATCAAACTTTTAGGAAACGATTAAAGAACTTTTTGTTTATCCAGTCCTACGGAAACGTCAAAAGTCATTGTTTATCCAAGCGCCCCTGAAGCTATGCATAGGACGCAATACAAATTAATAATAATAATTAATAGTAATAGTCAGATGAAGAAAAAAAATAATTGCAGTAAAGAACAAGATGAAGCAAAAACAGTCCTGGCGTGAGAATGTTCAACGAAAAATTAAAAAATTTGGAACTAGAAACCGGTAATAGATCAGTCTTTTCATAGTCTCTTCTTCAGTCGCGTAGGCAGAAATACTTTATAAACCTGCAGTTTGCTTCTTTCGCTTCAATTTTACTATTAATATCTATATTTTTCATACAAAATTGCCAAATGGTTAACGAGTTAGCTCAGTCCGTAAAAGTGCCATGTCTCGCGTTGCTATTACGCATCGGCATGGTTCAAATACTTTCTGCCCTAAATTCAAAGATCCTCATACGTGTATGATGCGTACATGCAATACAAGCAATACTGGGGAAACTTCCACTCTACACCTCTGATCTCCCTCTAGTGTAATGTTCACTATCATCAATAAATTTTCTATGAAATTAATAAATGTTAATTTTAACAGAGTTAAAACTTGTAATTTTTATAAAATTGTATATCTTTCAAATTAATTTAAAGATAGCTATATTTAAATAGACAAAAGCTGTCTTAAAATACTTGAATCGTTAAATAAATTAACTTTGAAATTAACGTTAAAAAATGTCATAATGTTCTGAATGAAGCATTGAGTGAAACAGATTTTAAGGCGTACAAATTATCATTCGTTGAAGCTGAAATGAACTTCTGCTGAGATTAATAAATTTGAATTGGATAGATGTCTATACTTCTGTAGTAAATTGTAGTAATTTCAAACAAATAACATTATTTTCCATTGCTAGTTTCAAAACATCGTTTAAGGCTTGCTACACTTTTTTAATATAAAGAATTCATCAGAAAATAGCTGCCTAGTATTTCAATAATTTTCAATGAAAATCATGCAACTGATACCATTAATTTTGAAAAAAATATTTCATGCAGATGTTTAAAACGACTGCACAGAAACCATCAAACGTTCGGTTTATCGTAGAAGAAAGTTACATTTTTAAATTTATTGTTGTTCAAAACATTGTTTTCAAATTGAAATTTTGCAGAACACGATTTTAAAAGAATAAATGTTTGTAAAACTGTTTGGTATCGATCACACTGCTGGTGGATTTGAAAACAAACAAGAAAAATTATGCAACATCGAATTCATTGCAATGTAAGATGAAAACATGAAGAAAATACATGCACCCTTTCAACATCTCCTTGCAAATTTATTCAATGACAACATGTTCGTTCAAGTGTAATAGATACGCTTCTCAAAACCACCGTATAAATTAGCCACTTCATTTTTTATTCGTTATACTGAGACCTTTTTTCATTACCACAGTAACATCGCTGTTATGTTTTCTTCGTTTTTTCTGTCATACGCAATGGTATACACTGCAACGAAAAATTAAAAATTTAATGCGACGGAATTAGATATTTTATAAGCTTTTAAAAATTGGATTTTTATTTACACATGGTTGAAATATTAACAAAACTTATTGGTTTAAGCTTTTCAAAACTATTTAACAATATCTTCATTCTGCTTGAAAAATTATATCACACTTGTAAGACAATTTTTCAAGAAGTTGAATACTCATTCATTCAAACGCTCGATTACGATACCAACGACATACAATCCAATCAAAAACCAACGTGTCAACATGGGTCGAAGTTGTGAAATGTCACAAATTATTCAAATTAGAATTCTCCAAATGCTCAAAAAGATAGTTCTTGGTGAAATTCAAAAGTTTTATTTTCAAACATTTATATAATAATTAAGTTAAATTCTTTTAAATGTAGACTAATTTGTTAGAATTATATTACATTATATTGTGCAAATCTAAATGTGATATAAAAAACTTGCATTTTCAAAAATGGGGCAAGGGTATTTTACTCCGAACATTATAAAAATTAATGTCATGCATGGCATGCATATTTTCCAAAGGTAGAAGAATCTAATTGTGATATATAAAATAAATGACAAATCAACATTAAACAGATCTATCAATAAAATTTTATTCCAAAATCCAGTAACATCCTGAAATGTTTGTTTGCGAATGATTGATTGTATATAAGTAATTTTAAAAATTGAAACTGATAAAAAATAAATTATAAATTTATGATGAAGGACATTTTGTAAAGACGAAGAGTAATTAATCCAGTTTTACTTAAATATTTGTCTAAATTTAGCGTTTATCAATTTTCTGATGCACAGTCAAGCGAAACTTATCTATCATAATGTATAT